CAGACTTCGATGAAGTATCACCTTTCTCCCCATTCTGCTTCTTCAGCTTTGGACAATCTCTCTTCATATGAACTGGCTCCTTGCACTTGTACCAATGAATTTCCTTTTTACCTCTAGACTTAGATCTGGAATTTCGCCTTCCAGAACTCTCCTTCTCTTTCTTCCTTCCACGATCCTGCTTACCCTTAACATATAAACTATCGTTGTGAGAATTTTCTCCTACATTCTGCTTCCGCTGGTTGTGAGCCAACAACGCTGCAGTAATCTCATCAACTTTGATAATCTCTTTCCTATATGTCAGAGTAGTCAGCAGGTGTTCATAGGAAGAGGGCAATGAACACAACAAAATCATCGTTCGATCTTCATCCTCAATACTCACATCAAGCCGTGACAGGTCTGTGATTATTTGATTGAAGCCATTAACATGCTGCGCCAGATCAGAACATTCCTGCATCTTCAGCCCATACAACTTTTGCTTCAAATACAACTTGTTCGTCAGAGATTTTGCCAAAAACTGAGTTTCCAATTTCTTCCAAATTTCTCCTGGAGATTTCAGATTCATCACGTGATACATAACCTCATCTGCTAGGCATAGTCGTATCATCGCTGCCGCTCGGTGTTGCAATTCTTTTCAATCTTCATCATCCATGGCATCTGATTTTGTTGCCCGCAAAGCTTTCAAGATTCTCTGTTGAGCCAACAGATCTTTCACTCTGGTCTGCCACAATCTGAAGTTACCAGATCCATCGAACTTCACCACCTCGAATTTTGCACCATAAAAAGTCATCTGAAAGTTATTCCTACAACAAAACTTTCTGCAAAAAATTCCTCGGCAAAAATCTTTAGAACTCTTCTTTTTTTTGTTTTTTTTTTGAAAAAAAAAGAAAGAAAAAATTGAAATCTTCGAGCAAAGCAAAAAATTTTCTCTCTGCCTCCAAAAAAAGAAATAAATATTTCCCTTATTTCCTCTCCTTATCCAGCAAAAGAAAATCTTAATTAAATTTGCTTTCCTCCTCCAAGAAAAGAAATAAATATTTCTTTTATACCAAGAGAAAATAAAAAAAATAAATATTTTCTTTATTTCCTCTAAATTTAATTTTAAATCAACTTAATAAAAACTTTCCTTTGCTTATGTTTACTCTCCAAATATGACTCCCTCCAGCAAGGGAATATTCTCCTATTTGGAAATAAAAGAATCTCGGATCAGGATTTGCTTTCTCTACTTTCTTCTCCAATTTCACCGCTTTCTTCAAACGCCTCCAAAGGAATATTCCCTCTTGATTCCTTTCCAATCTCTCCCTGCTCCCTGGTTCGCGATTTTCTCCTGAGCCCTTCAAATTCCTTAAATCCTTCAAGTTCCGAATTTTTTTTTTATAAGGAAACACCGCAGCTTTTATAAGGAAACACCGCAGCCGCTCCTTTCCTTTTATGTTCGCGAACGAACTCCCCTCTCTGCGCACGAATGGCGACCGCGGCCTCCGCTCCTTCTCCTTTCAGCCAAACCCGAGGACGCCTTCCTTTCCCAAGAGCTCTCGCAGGCCTCCTTCGCGATCCTTCGGCCTGTCGCAGAAGCCGCAGAAGCTTCCGCTTTTGCTGCTTCTGCCTGTCGCAAGCCTCCGCCAAAGCTCTAGCAGAACTCTGCCCTAGCCGCCAAATCTTCTTCCTCGCGCCAATCAAATTTCTTCCTTGCCCTCGAACCTGAACTCCGATACCACTTGTTGAGAAAATTAGGGCGAAGAAAAATAATAATCGACACAAATCCAGAAGAACACAGAGATTTAACGAGGTTCGGCAAAGATGCTTACGTCCTCGGGAGCAGAGCGGCGAGTTCCTTTCAATAATCAGAAAAGATACCTTCTGGGGTTACTAACATGCCTATTTATAACCCCAGGAGTAAACCTAGGCACAATACGTAATTACAACATTACCCCTGTACCATACCGCGGGGTTTTGCCCCCGCACGCCAACCCACGTAATTTCCCAATTTTGACAGATTTTTCCGCTCCGCTCCGCTTCGATCCAACGTCTGTCCCTATACGGCATATGAGTCTTTTTATGACTCTGTTCATATTAGAAGTGGGAGTATGATATTGCCCTTAGCAAAACTTTTTGAAAACTTTAAATTTCTGAAGAAATTAATAAATTGCATCGTCTTTTACTCCTTTTTTTGGGTGGGTTAGATGCTTTAATTGAATTTATATAATGTCCTTATGTCATGGAGGTTTTTGCTTTCTTTCCTCAACAGGGGATTGAGGACTTTCTTTCCTCAACAGGGGATTAAGGGTGGCTACCAAAGGATAGATGACTGGTTCTTTAAGCATTGTAGGAAGAACACAATCATTGCTTCACTAAAGATCCCACAAAAGGCAATCAGAGCCTCACTAATTAATCCACAACTGCTGCTAAATCCATCAGCCAGCTGCTAGAGTTTCATAAGAAAGGCTTGATCATAAAAGGTATTTCAATTAATATTCAATTATTAGCATATAATTATCATTTGGTCATCAATAAAATGAAGAAAGCAATTGGAGTGTTAACAAAGGCATTTTGGCAGGAAACAGGCTACTTACTTGATGCAAGAGTAAATATGAAGGATTTGAAGTGAGACATTTAAGATAGGAAGCTATGGAGGATGCTATGCTTGACACTGTGTTAATATTCCTAAATGTTTGGCATCCATGTTAATATCCCTAAATGTGTTAGGTGTCATGGAATCACATAACAGATGCAAATATTTGAATGACATAGGAAAAAAAAGGGCCATTGTTTACCTTCATATACTGAAGATCGAGTTCTTTAGCTGCAATATGTGCATCCATTTCAAACAATTCATAGAACTTACCCATCTGTTAAAAATAAGTTTAAGTCTATGTTTCCTTCCATTCAAAAAGAATTTCAAAGAAACTAAATATCGCTAATATAGTCAGTGGTAAGAATACCTTGAAAAACAAAACTTTGTCCATGTGCTTTGACTTAAACTCCCACCATTGCCTCTATATGCCAAATGTACGAATAAATAACCAGCAGCAGCAAAATGAAGAAATCTTCATGCATACAAAACCAACTACCTGTCCACCAGACAAACTCTTCAAAAACTCCTGCGGCAGGTAAATGGTTTTTGGATCATAGCCTGCATCTCCAGGGCTCCTCCTATGCGAATCCTTACGTTCTCTAATAACAATAGAAGACACAGATGATGAAATAATCATCTACGAGTACATTAAAGATTTGCATATATTTAAGCTAAACTCAGTCACATTTTTCAGAAATTTATTTTTGAGCAATTTATCAGACTCAACCGGAATATAATATAATGTTCTGTAATTAAAACTTTTGTGATGAAAGATTGTGCATGATCTCATAACTCTCTCTCCTTGATGTGCATAAAAATAAAGTGTAATAATTCTCTCTCAATTGGCAGTGAGCTAATTTGTTACCCACAGCTCCGCACAGCTGTTCATGGTGTTGAATCTCCTTGACAAAAAACTCTCTTCCTCAAACTCCAACCCCATCACAAAATCCCTTTCTGCTGCTATTCTTACAATATTCAAAATAAATGCAATTTTAATTGGCTCCAAAAATGATTAATTAATACAAAAACCATTAGGAAGGACTCTAGAATTATCATAGTTACTAAACATCACAAAATATAAATCAACAGAATGGTTGTGTGTGTGTGATCGTGTCCCTGAATTGTACCCCAGCTAGTAAAAGAACAAACTATAAGTATATTCCACCAATAAAAACATTAATGTACTCATAAAAAAGAATATAAAACAAAGGATTTGCACTTGCTGACACTGAAACTATACTATAAAAACTACAAAACTTTTCTTTTTGGCGATCAAAGTCATTAATGTAAACTGCTACTTCTTGCTCATATTGTATTGCCTCGGGCCCTCAGTAAAAAAAAAGAGTTCTTGAACTTCAACATGCTTGACCTCCTTGCATTTGGCTAAATAATTAACTGGACCAACTAAAGACAAGAGTGCTCTTGTTTGTAAAGTCAAGCCTTCAACATGCTTGACCTCCTTGCATTTGCTCACTAAGTACAACACACTATCCATCCCAATTCTTATCTCACATTAGCTTGACAGTTAATGAAATCTTTATAGCTCATAATTAGGTATATTAGTGAACCTGTACACTCGTTAAACAGTTCGATACTTATTCATATAGGATACGTTTACGTTCTCTTATTTAGGCAACTGAACAAATATTAACATAACATGTACACTCGTTGATAAGCTCGATACTCATTCATTTAAGACATGTTTAAGATTGCTTATTTGGATAATTGAACAAATAAAAACAAAAATTTTAAGGCTTGACATATAAATAACCAAACCTGAACATTAAACTATTCGTTCATTTATATCCCTAAAGATGTTTGTTTTTCATTTAACAAGCAGCTTACCAACAGCACAATAAAACGAGCATTGAATAATGTGCAATTGCTCTTTAATAACCTATTATATATTATTATATTAATTTTTTTACATTTTATATTCTTCCAAAATTATATGGAAACTATATTTTTAATTTTCATCAAATAATTAAAATTGAGTAAATGGCAGAATGGATAGAATAGTTTTTTTTTACTTTTATTGAATATTAGAGAAAAATGTTATGTAAAATATTGCCAAATTTAATAACAAGGTTTCAAAAACTTTAATGCTGATAATAAAGCTATTTATTTAAACTGCAAACATCCAACATATAGTTATTTAGGCTTGACTATAGGACAAACTCCTTAACACAAGCACAATAAGAAAATAAATTAAACAAGTTTGAACAATGTAGTACTCAACCTAACACTATTCATTTGCAGCCCTACTCAAATCTCATACTACATATCAATTATGAAAAGAATTCCCTCCAAATTGAAATCAATATGGTTGCCTAATAACCAAGGTGCTAAAGCTCGCCTAAGCATAATCAAATATTAAAAGAGAACTAATTTGTGTAATAAATTTACTTCAATTAATAGAAATACTTCTGGAAACCTATAAAACCCTATCATTATACATAAACCATGTCAGAAAAATAATAAATTCTTAAATTTTATTTATTTCAAGATCCAATTGCTACATAAACTCTCTCAAATAAATTCCCCAAAAAAAAATTCTAATAAAGTATATAATTAAAATATTTAAGTTTATAGAATGCATAAATTAAGAATAATACATTTTTCTAATTTCCATCTTATCCAACAATCGCGCTCTCATCTTTACCACTAGAATTTTATCCATTCATCTCTTTTATTACCTCAGAATTATCCACTTCATCCTAATGATTTACTACTCTAAAACTTGAAGCGCTTCACCTAAAGTTCGTCAATCTTATTTCCTGCATCCTCTAAAACTTAAAGCACTTCACCTAAAGTTCGTCAATCTTATTTCCTGCATCTTAGTCTCAAGAACTCGTAATTCTCCTTTTAGATCACCCATATTAAACAGTCATCATTAAAGATTAATTCATCATCCAAATTACAAATATTAGGACACATTGCTCCAATCAACGTAAAGGACACACCTCCTAAGCCAAACACTTCAAAGCAAGATGCTAGCCACCACATCTTAGTACTGGTACTGATTTAATAAATGTCCAAAAGGCTATGCCCTCGCCTTAGGTGAGAGCCTAGTTAGCCGTCCAACTTGCCTTTAAAAATATTAATTTATAAAGCAAAAATAATCTAAATGATTTTATTTTTTAAAATTCTCCAAAAGAACTTCAAGATATTCTCTTAATGCATGGCTCTCTATGACCCTTCTCTATTTTAACCATCAAATTGTGTCTCTAGAAGTAATGTTCAACGTCAAAACCTCATTCATATATAAAATAAACCTATAAGTACCAATATCCATCATACTTGGGTATGAAGTGATTAATAAAAATGTTATAATCATTTAGAATAAAGTCGTGTACAAGTCATTTTTTCTACTGATTCTGAGAACAGTTTCTTAATTTTTAGCTTTTTAATTAACTTTTAAAGCAGTCTTACTTACCATCACTTTGTTGCTTTCAAAAAGCATACACGTCTACCATGCCATAAGAATCAGCATTTTCATTAGTAAAATTTAAATGAAAATTTTATGTTAATAATTGATGTAAGCCTATTATAATGAAATAAAATTTGATCACTTCTAACAACATTTTGAACAATCATAAAAATCATAAAAAAATGTGTGTTAGGCACAATATCCTATAAATGCACCAAAGTAACTCTCCTTGTGCTCAATTATATGTGTCAGCCCTACATAGTTAGAATAATGATGATAAATGTACTCAATTTTATATATTTTCATGACAAACATGCACACACACACTCACTATATATACATATATATGAAAATTCTCGTTGCTATTACTTTTTTTCATTATATGTGTGACCACCAAAAATCATTTTCATGGTGGATCTTTCTAGAGTAACATAAGTTTGATTCTCGAATAACTTTTATTAAATGCATTCCCTTACCTAATCATAACTTCATTGTATGGTCTTTAATTTAAAATCTCCCGCAGTCATCACATTCTTGAATTACCATTTGCACTAAAAATTAGTAACAAAAAGTTCTTTCTAGAAACATTTAGCGTCCTATTAGTCTTTAGGGCTTTGCTAATAACATTTTTAACCTAATTATTTCAATATCTACTTCAATTTCCAAAATCTCAAAAGGTATAATTTAAAATCTGAAACCATAACTTTATGCATCTTCTTTAATTACCATTTGCACTAAAAATTAGTAACAAAAAGTTCTTTCTAGAAACATTTAGCGTCCTATTAGTCTTTAGGGCTTTGCTAATAACATTTTTAACCTAATTATTTCAATATCTACTTCACTTTCCAAAATCTCAAAAGGTATAATTTAAAATCTGAAACCATAACTTTATGCATCCTCTTCAAATCTAAATTATTTTTTAAAAATATTTTATAGTGTAATTTATAATTTTGTTTAATTTGTTTAATTCAAAACAAAATTGTCCTTAAGATGTGCCTCAACAAACATCGTTTCTATTAACTCACCATCTAAACAAGAAAAAACAAAAAATAAAAATAAAACTACAAAACTTCTATAGAATTACATCAGAAATCAACAACTACCTATGAGTTTATCAAATCAGCTATCAAATACACAAATGTAAATTCCACGCAAAATATACTTAAAATAAAAGAGATAAGCAAAGGCAGCATACTTGAAGTATGCCATCTCTCCTTACTAGTAAAGTATTGGAAAAAAAAAAATTCAGTAGCAATTTAACATTGAAAGCAATTGAAGTGTCACAGTCGTGAAAATCAACTCATTCAACTTCTTCATATATTATTCAATGTGTATATTTGTGGGAATTCATTTTCAATATTGCACTCAATTGCAAGATCAATGTAAATGGAAAATTAACCAGAACTTTCTAACTAAAGACAAGAAAGAAAGTGTTGGTTTCATTGTTAAAAATCCCAACCCTCCAGCATATCGCCAGATAAAAGTGGAATAAATTAGTTGAAAGGAAGATAATTAACATAAATTAAGAAGTATAAATATGTCACTTTTGACAATACTCACGCTCCAAGAAACTTAAACTTCTCAGCATGTCGTTTTCCAAACCGACCAGCTGCATCATCCGTTAAACTACAATCCAAAACATCCAAAAGCTGATTCTCTGCAATATGAAATCGAAGGTTAGTCAGAATTCTGCTTTCATGCTCAAGAAAAAAGAAAACAACGGCATCGGCACATTAGCACCACACCACCAACAACACATGTAAAATTGCTGCTCATTGCCACAGTTTCCTGGTAATTAATAACCTAAAACCCTACTAATACCAAGTTTATTACAGAAGATTCATGAAAGCAAATGTGCAAAACTCATTGTGAAATCGTCTTATGCACCATTAAACCATTAATCAAGCTACCCCTAAGTTATATTTTAGTGAAGGTTTCAAAAGAACATTATATCTGTTTGGCATCCTATATTAGTCAGGATAAACACAAAATATAGTTTGAACCTGCCTAATATAATAATTGTAACTTTAAACCTATTAGTTTAATAAATTCAATGTCAACCCCGTTATTATTTAAATCCATGATTTGTAAGTCCCAACATTCGTTTAAGGATTCCTACTATCATAATTCTTAAATCCTAAAACAAATAACCAAAAAGTACATTTGGATTAACAATATTTGATATTTGTAGTGTCAAACAACGTTCGGGTTTTAGTCCTCTCAAAGATTTACTAAATCTTAATGTACAGGTAGAGGGGGAACCACCTTAATATTGTCCATACTCAAAATTTGTTTATGCCTGTAATAAGAATGTTAATTCTAGAGATTTGCCCGCCCTTAATTTATAATTTTGCTTGCTTCTCACTAAAGAAATGCCCAACTTAACCCCTCATCTATTATATATTTCTGAATTTTTACATTTTTTACTATTTATATTTTTCAATTATAATAATTGTTTGTCCTTTTCTATATATATAATTATTATTATCATCATTTAATAATTATATTATTTAAATCCTTAAACTTCTGGCCGCTCAGCAAAAGAGGACTTGGTTCGGTTCTCTGTATATGGAGCATTCACTAAATTCTACACATGATTCGCTAAATTCTACATGCAGACAAACAACCCTTAGTACATCTAATCTATATAGCATTACTTGCAGCAAAACGATATACATACTTCCGCATGAATTAGCATGCTGCGTGAAGTTGTTTCTTCTAGCACCAACAGGTGTTTTGGATTCTGTATTATCTTCCTGATCGTCCAGTTTCACAGTCCTGATGCAATCCATTTTCTCCGCAGCAATCTTTCTTCGCTTTCCTGGCATTAAAGAAAGCTTTGATGAACTAGATGCCGCGCTTCTTCTTGATCTCACCGCTACGTCCTCCTCCAAATCATCCTCATTTTCCAACTCTACATCTTCAGAATCATCCTCCGTGACATCCCTCCGAGATTCCCGGCCCCACCCCTCGTCATCGGAAGAAGCTTCCTCACTGCTTTCCTCCTCAACTTCGGCTTTACCGGACTCCAATGGCGAGTTAACCGCCGAGGACATGGATCCCGAGATCCTTCTCAGCCGACGAAGGTTCCTCGGCCGTTCGGTCTCTACCCATTCGATATCCTCCTTCTCGAGCTCGAGAAACTCTTCCTCCGCATCATCATACTGTATCACATGTTTGCCAGATGCCTCATCGAACGATCGGACATGTCCTTCATACCAAGCCTTGTCGAGGGGCCAAAAGACCCTAATCCTCTTTCCAACCACCTCCGATGAGTACGCCGCCTTCTCACCCACCGACTTAGAGCTGTCGAGGTTGGACACCGATGGTGGGGTAATGACAAGATGACGCTTCTTCTTCTTTGCTTTGTCGTGCAAAGAAGACGTATTAGATGAAATGCTGGGACTAGGATTAGGGCTAGAGTTTGGCACGGGACTATTGCCAGAAGAGAAGAAGGAGGTGATTTGGCATTGCTTGCGGACGAGAGGAGAGCGACCGTTGCTAATGCGACGGGAAGGAGACATCGGAAAAGGGTTCGGCCGTCCGCTGTGGAGAAAAAATTTGGGTATATAAGACGCACGCAGCGCTGCTTGCGATAGCGAATCACCGAAAGACACGTCGGCTAAGAGTTTTTATTGGGGAAGGAGCAGTTCTTATTGGGGACAGAAAATTGGCGGGAAGGCTGGGAAGGATGTCCACGTCGGCGAGCCGAAATCTCGGCGACGCCCAGAGAGTCGGGGAGAAAGAGCAGATGAGTCAAAGGATGACAGTGCGACCGCAATGAAAATCATATTTAAATTTCCATAAATAAATCATATATATATACCCTAAGCCTTAATATATATATTTTATATTAATTAAAAATATAATCGTTTTAGCTCAAAAAAAAAAATTAAATGCATTTTTTATGTACTAGATAAAGTGGCGTGGTATATAAATATTTTATTTTCATGATTTTTTTCTTATTTAATTATATCTTACATTCAACTTTTATTAAAATATCTTACATAATTAAATCTCAAATCAATAAACAAATACTCAAAGATGTATTTATTCATTTATAATAACCCTATTTAATATTTTGCAGCATGAGAGGGGGCAATTGTCACACAGAATTTTGCTATTAAGAGAGGGGGCCCTTAGATAATTTACCACCTTAAAAATGGTGTTTGTCTTGCCATATTTAACATTGCTTGGCTTGCACTTGGCTCCACTTACTAGCCCAATACAGAAGGCAATGAAGAAAAGCAGCTCAATATAATATTTATCACCTTAATTCAAAGGTCTATGAAATGAGAAATTTATTTTTTATTAAATTATGATACAGTTAGGGTTTGTCTAGTTTCGTTGCAGCTTTTCAGAAGTTATACTGCAGTTTTTGGTAAAATATAGCTTTCAGTAGCAGTTTTTTGAAAAAGCATGCAAAACACACTTTTGCCAAAAAAAAAAATGTACAATATTGTACCGCACTGCCACCACATCAATCCTCCAAACGCGCCCTTAATCAAATCTAACCCACCACATGTAATGTTCGCAGTAGCAATTTTTTTAAAAAGCATGCAAAACACACTTTTGCCAAAAAAAATGTACAATATTGTACCGCACTGCCGCCACATCAATGCTCCAAACGCACCCTTAATCAAATCTAACCCACCACATGTAATGTTCCAGTGTAGCACTAGTCCAACATATGTTTTTTTTGCTTGAACTGTACTAAAAATTAATCATTTCAAGACATGAGACTAAGGTACTAGCACACAACATTCTATGGCAGAGCTTTAGATTAAGGGCATTTATTTAGGGTCTGTTTGGGACAGCTGCAACTTATTAAATAATATGATGATAAGTTGATTAAAAATAATTTGTCGATAAACTAGATGCGGTGACTACTACAAATTTTTATTTTTTTGGAATAGTCAGACCCCAGCCAGAAAGCTGACGCCGCACCTAAATATGTGCGGTGTGAAAACGTTGTTTTCAGCGTTTTAAAAACGCATAAACTGCCACAACGCAGTTTACCCAAACAGGTCATGTGTGTTTTCAAAACGGCACCGCACCCAATAAGCTGCCCCGATCAGACGCACTCAATTTCTATTGATTTACATATGTGACGCGTGAATTATATTTGCTTACATTTATACCACCCAAAACAATTCATATCACATACAAAAATATTACCATGCCAATCTTTAAAAAGTAAAATATACTTTTTAAGTAGAGGAAAGTAACATATATGATAAGATTGAAGTTTAGTTGTGAAATATTTAATTGCATATGAATTGAATGGCATGTAGATAAATCATTATGAATAATATAAAAATAAGAAAATAAAATCATTCTAAATAATATAAAAATAAGAAAATGACTATCTCATTTTTTTTTTTTTGTAGTATTGACATTTAAACAAATTCATAAATAAAATATATTTGGTTTAAAAATATTATATAACTCTTATGTTATAATATCTAATAAAATAATTATAATATTGATAATACATGAATAAACAATAATTTTAAATTATATTCTTTTTTATTCGCATATTCTTATCAATTTTAAATTAAAGATTTAAAAAAAATCATGGATAATAATTTCGGGTATCGATAGAAAAGATTGTTGCTATTTCTTAAATTACTAATTTATACCCCCCACTCAAAAAATATTGTGGCTTCGCTCCGTTTTTAGAATTGCTCTGCCTCTTGTGTGTAGTATTGCTTTGCCTCGCTCTGAAGCACCACATGGTCTCACGTGCCTCTCTAGCACGTCTGTTTAATCAGGACTCGCTCAGCTCAACCACGCACGCCCGTATACTGAGTTTCTTTTGTTGTTATTAAACTTATAATGATTTTTCTTTGGTTATGTTCTACCCATAGATGATTTTTTATTGGATAATTTTAGCATTTTTTAAGTTTTAGAAAAGTAATGAAGTGTGACAAACTTTAAATTTATTAATGTAATAAATTTGCACCTCCCTCCCCAAAAGAAATAACGGTTAAGTCTCTAAATGTTTGACGCAATTACATACAGAGCATCTCAGCTCAACCTCGCACGCCCGTATACTGAATTTATTTTGTTGTTATTAAACTTATAATGCTTTTTCTTTGGTTATGTTTTACCCATAGATGATTTTTTATTGGATAATTTTAGCATTTTTTAAGTTTTAGAAAAGTAATGAAGTGTGGCAAACTTTAAATTTATTAATGTAATAAATTTGCACCTCCCTCCCCAAAAGAAATAACGGTTAAGTCTCTAAATGTTTGACGCAATTACATACAGAGCATCTGAAACATTTACAAATAATGCGTCATCTTTCATCCATTTTTCAAATGCTCGCTCAAATATCAAAATTCATGATAAAGCTCCAACCCATTTTTTATATTTTTATCAAATTCTCAAAAGGTTTATCACGGCATACGTAAATGCATCGTTTCAACAGTTCAAAAAATAACATCAGTGCTTGATTTGTAATATCAATATTTCAGGTGTTCTGCATGTAATTATCGCTAAATTTTTTTTAGGTATTTTATATATAGGGAGAGAGTTTGCAAGTATAGGAAAAAAAAATTATAAATATCATATTAGATCGAAAATAAAGAAATTTATAAATATTTATATTTTAAAATTTATAGCATAAATTTTATGGATTTGATTTTTCGGCTTTCTATTATCTTTTATTTAGTATAATTCAATTTTAAATTACTTGTAAATTATTTAATTCAATAAATCGGTTCAACTATGATGAATCAATACCAGGAAATTTACATACTCTGCACACAAATCTAATGGATTTACAGGCACAACATTTTATCAATGCATGTAAGGGTAGATTTGACAATTAAAAAAAATGATAATTAGTGTTGTTTTTGATGTGACACTAAGGAATTGGAAAAAATATTACATCAGTATTACGCACGTAGAGTAACGTGTGTAGTCAATGAAATCACGCCACGACACCCCACGAGACAGGGAAAAAAAAACGACGGCGGTAACAAGGGGAATATTCTCTCCATGTTATTCTTGTGTTATTGTGTGTTATTCATGTGTTACTGATGTGTTATTCTGTTATTATAACACCAAGAATATTCTCAGGACACAATAACACATGAATAACACACAATAACACCAAAATAACACGGAGGAATATTCCCGATAGAGAAAAAACGGCACGGTAACACGGGGAATATTCTCCCCATGTTATTCATGTGTTATTGTGTGTTATTCATGTGTTACTGATGTGTTATTCTGTTATTATAACACCAAGAATATTCTCAGGACACAATAACACATGAATAACACACAATAACACCAAAATAACACGGAGGAATATTCCCGATAGAGAAAAAACGGCACGGTAACACGGGGAATATTCTCCCCATGTTATTCATGTGTTATTGTGTGTTATTCATGTGTTACTGATGTGTTATTCTGTTATTATAACACCAAGAATATTCTCAGGACACAATAACACATGAATAACACACAATAACACCAAAATAACACGGAGGAATATTCCCGATAGAGAAAAAACGGCACGGTAACACGGGGAATATTCGTTTTATTGTGTTATTATAACACCAGGAATTTTTCAAGGACACAATAACACATGAATAACACGCAATAACACACAATAACACATGAATAACATGGGAGAATATTTCCGACAGAGAAACCCCGTGTTACCGCGCGGTTTTTTTCCTGTCGCGTGGGGTGTTGTGGCGTGATTTTATTGGTCACGCACGTTACTCTACGTGCGTAGTACTGATGTAATATTTTTTCAAGGAATTGAGTGAAAATTTTCCTTACAATTAACAGATTGAAATAATGATAATTGATAATTGAAATTCAAAGTGTATTAATGCAAAAATAAACTTGAGTGTGAAATTAAAATTAATAATTTTCTATCAACTTCAATGACACTTAGAGACGGTGATTGTTTGAGGAAGAGTTGCATGGGTTGCTAGACAAACAATGAATGACCCAATGACATGGATTTTATGGTTGAACATAGTTTGTTGATTCACTGGTTTGTAATGATGGCAAGCGAATAAGTTTTAATGGTGATGGTTATCATGTGATGTATCTGAATTGATAAGGTTGATGGTGACCCAAGAGCCTTTTATACACAAAGAAATTAATCTAATATTCCTGATAAGTGGCAGTGAGAGCCCCTTACCAATTGCTCGGTCACAAATTTAGCTTGGGTAGCAATATAATCAACATTGATTACAGTTTAACTATTTTAGGATGTGCCAAATCTTAAGATTTTCAATATAAATGCCATAGAAAACGTGTAAGAGGCGTGTTGGGAAAGATTATGAGCTATGAAAAGCATTTTACATGATTAAAATGCGCTTGTAGAGAGATTGAGAGGGATTTTTAAGACAACATTCTAGGAATACTCCCAAAAATTGAATCTTGAGTGTTTCTCAATATAGACCATTAATTTATGCCTTTTGAGTATAGCTCTACTTTATATGTCATGCCAAACTTATGTTTGATCTTTTCTTAATATTCCTATGATAAGCATATGGGTGGTGAATACTGCATCAAATCC